GGACCTCACTAAAGCTTTTGACTATATGCTTCCGGAAGCCATAATCACGATCTTAAAGCATCTTGGCCTCCAGGCACGTGTTGCGCATGCTTTGAATGTCCTGTGGAGTCACCAACGACGCTGGCTTCGATGGCAGGCCTGGACGGCAGAGGCCCTTGTGTCGTCACAGCTTCTGTGCCACACGGAGACAGCTTTTCTCCTGTCGCCATGCTTGCTTTACTCGTGGCTCCGACTGCTGCGGTGAGTGCGGAGTGCCCGTTGGTTCAGCAGACCCTGTTTGTCGATGACCGGAAGCTCACTTCTCCTGACACGGGTGCCCTGGCTGAAGCGGTAAGTTTGTGGGAACTTTGGAGCTTAGCCTTAAGCTTGTCCGAAAACCGCTCCAAGTTATCCTTACTCCCGCGCTGTAAGTGGCACGCGGATGCGCTCCAGGCAACTGCCTGGTCCAGCTTTGTTGTGAACAGTGTTCGTGTGCTTGGCGTTGACTTTTGCCGTTTGCCGCTGTCGTGCCTCGAGAGACCGACCCACCAACGGTGACAGGTGGGTTCATGCAGGCGTGTGCTTTGGCCAAAGCGATTGCTGCGCTCCCGACCTCGAGCTCGTCTAGACGCTGCCTCTCTAGGGTTTCGGAAGTTTCGGTTGTCCCTGAGGCCTCTTGGTTGTTTAAGCGCCCTGCCCACCGTACCGTTTTGCAGACTTGCAGGGCATCAGCTGCCGGGCTCTTCGCCCTTGCAGTCTCTACTGGACGGTCCGGGGCACCTGTGTGGCGCGAATCCGCACTGCCATGTCTTCGTATGATTGGGTCGAGCAGGGCCCTTTCAGCTGGCACCATCCTGAGGTTGGCGCTTTGGCCTGGTCCCCCCTCCACAGCGTTGGTCAGCGCCAGCGCGCGCAGCACCTCCTCAGGGAAGCTTGGAGGCGTAAGTTTTTCGTGAGTTCCTTTGCGGTGATCGTCGTGATGTGAGGGCCCTCCGCGGTACACGAGAAGGTGTTCCAAATGGGCAGCTGTCATCATCGAGCTGTCCTCAGTGGTGCCGCGGTCAATCTTGCTGCAAGTTACGTCATGCGCACAGGCGTCCGATGGCAAGATCCTTGCCCTCTTCGCGGCGGACGCGCTCATCTTGTTTGGCTGCGCGCGGCGTTTGACGCAGACAGACAGGGAGTTCCGCAGCCCTCCTCTCCTCTGGAGGCGCGACTGGGATCGCCTACGATCGCTCGGGGCCGTTGGTCTGGTCCTGTGGCGGACTTGATGGCGGGCGTGCGCGCCGCCACTCTGGCCGCCGACTGAATGCTTGCAAGTGGGGCGCAGCTTTCTGCGGAGGCTGACGTCCGTCAAAGCTGGAGTTACCCACGATGTTGAGGCCAGCGACACGATCGACAACGCTGCTTGGCATGTTTCCACCGGTTCGTTTGATTTTGATGTCACAGAATGTGGAATGTCGAGCCTGCCCTAGAGGAGAACGGGTGCCCTGAACAAATCCTGACATTCTGGTTGAGGGTGCTTGAATCTCATATGGCGGTTTGAGAGATCCTGCTAAGCTATCCCTGCACAAAAGCAAACATGTCTCGAACACGAGTCGACATGAGAAAGCAGGCCCGACCGAGCTGCATCGTTGACTTGTAACCGCAGCGATTTCTGAGACGGTATTTAGGACGGTTCGTCCTCATAAGTCCGTCTGTAGAAGCATGGAGAGTCATAGCTGGAATCGGAAAAGCAACTAATGAGTAAACTGTTAAGGAAGCCACAACAGCTGTCTCCCCAAACCGAAACTGAAAGCAGGATGCATCAGGTTTAGGTCATGGGTTGGTTTCCGTGACGACGCGAAAGCTAGCTCCTTGGAGCTTGCAGGAGTTGTTGTTACAAATTGCTTTGTTGGACAAACTTGCAAAAGCCCCCTTCTGTTCGATATATCAAGGACTTCTAGGCTCCCCCCCCTCCCCTCAAGGCCTCCTTCGCTCTGTCGGTTTTGCTTTTGGTTTGAATGGGTTGAGCTATCGTGATTGCAGTGGATGCCGCCATCCTCCCTGCACGCAGCCCTGCCCCGCACGCAAGGCCGCCGAACAACCTATCGCTTCTCTACTTGCTTTTCCCTCGGCGTTTCTACTTCTTGCCCCTAGCTTTCGTCCTCCCTGCTCTCCAGTACCAGGGTGTTCGATGATGTATAAAGTATACATCCCCAACCAGCAGCCATGAGAACGCCTCCACCATGGCGGCTGCTGCCCAGTGCCTGTTGGCTGGTGGCTGTTCTGGAGCGACAGAAGACCTTTCATTGTTCCACACGGCAGCATCAAAGCTAAGACAACCTCGAAGCTTTCCGCGGCGTTCTTGTAGTCGGGAGTCTGGAACGGCCCCAACGGGAGCTACTGTGGATGGACCAAATCCTGCATCACCTTTAAGGAGTGTCATTTCATGATTCCCCGCGCCCTCTTTTTAGCATTGGCTCTGAAAGGCTCGAGACCAGATTTGTTCCACTGGCCGAAATCTTGCACCGCTCAAGTCGTCCCAGCTGCCATTGTTAAGTAGGGGTGCGGGGCTTGATGCCTTACTCGTTTTGGAGTATGCGTGTGCAGGTGGTGCAAGACCGTAGGTCCCCCTTCATTATTGATTGCCCTCTCGGGCTCTTCGATATGCTCGGTCCTCGGGTCCGGCCCCACGTTCTTATCGGCTCCCATCTTTGTGCTTGACGCGAGCGAGTCCTACAAAGGAATGTTTGGCTTCACAGGTCATTGCACGAGGCCGACCATAACACCAGCAGCATGCTTGCAAAGCAGGCAGTGCACGAACCACCTTACTCTTCATGCGCGGAACAACCAAATCCGCTGTGTCTTCTTGTCGGAGGCGGAGGTGCTGGAGGGCATTTTGGTGGTGGACAAAATGCGGCCGATCCGTTTTGCACCGAGCGCTTTGCAGTTGCATGGCTCTGTTGCAACTTCATCTGTTGTCAACTTCGGAGCTCTTCGGGGACGGGGTGTGGAGCTGCTCTGCATGATCAAGGAGCGGAGCACCTGTGCTTGATGTGGGATGCTCAACAAAGCTTCAGTGCGGCGTCTGGACCGATTCCCGCAGCACGATGGTTGCCAACACGGAACATCATAGCTGTGCGAGGGCTCCGTTTGCTCTCGCAAGTTTTTTGTTCGAAGCTTCGCAAGATGTCACCCGCATCACAGCGCGGGTCGACTTCCGCAGAGCATCCATCTTCGTGGACGACAGGGCTTTCGTCACCGGCTGTTCAGCTGCCGCTCTTCGTGCATGGAGCGGATGGATTGGCTGGAGTCGCCGGCTTGGCCCGGTCGCGAACGCTCGGAAGCTGTGCGTGCTGCGTACCCACCTTCGGAAACGGCATGAGCTGGTGCAAGGCGGTGCACCAGTTCAGGCGCTTGGAGTTGACGTGATGTTGGGTGTTTTAGCTTCTACCACCACCCGTGACAAGAGAGTGCTCTAGGCAACTGCTATCCTGAAAAGGTTTGCCCGCCTGCCTGCTGGCCAACCTGTCTAAAAGATGCTGTTGTCTGACCTGGAGTCATCTGCAAGCATGAGTTTCATATTGCTTCGTTTACAGATTTCCGCAATAATGTTCAACGTCGACAACCAAAGGTGGAGCTATATGACCAATAACATCATCCTCCCGATCTTACCATGTCTCAGCTTATTTGCTCAAGTTTAAAACGTTTTTGCACTGTAGAAAAAGAAATTTTATTGAACATACCATACCGTACTACTATGTTGCTCCACTTGGTAATGTGTTATGCTAATCTCTGCATGTACCTGGCAAACCATGTGGTGTGATGAGCACCGGTTTATGTTCTGCCACAAGCAAGTAGCAGGTACTCGTAGCGTGTATGACATTTTTGATTTGGGGGACCACGTGTTTAAACAATCGTTCAGACAGACAGACAGACATGAAAACAATAATCAATTGATCCCACCCACAGAAGATGTGTACATATTATATACATAATTATTTCCGTATGTACACGCACATGTATAAACACGCACATTATATGCGTACTTCACTTTTTTCACTTCCTCGCTGCAAAGGTCCACCGTTTGCGAGCGAAAGCAGGGACAGAGCATCTGCTCCGGCTTATGCTGTAGAAAGATTTCTACATCCCAGGGAAACTCCATCACAGTTTGTCGTGACAGATCATGATCGAGATCAAGGCCTCCGGTGCGGACACCCAAAATTCAAGCAAGGCCCAGGCTCAGGAAGTGCGGCAGTAGAAAAGTAAGTACGCATTGCACTCACATTCACTAAGATCCGCAGACCCACTACGCACAACCTGCACATTGTCGTCAGCAGTGTAGATGTCATTACGATCGATCATGAGAACCTTGTAGTGTCCACTCACCGGCGTCTCTCCTAAGTGGTAAGCCACTGCACACAGGGTGAACGTGGCATGCCAGAAACGGCCACCTTGGGCAAACACCGGCAGCTTAACCATACGATCAAGCAGCACTCTGTACCTCTGTTTCCGTGGCGCTTCTGACTGCCCGTCAACCACAAACCTGCTCGCCTGCATCACAAAACAGGATGGGCACTGTAACGCAGCATGAACCTGTTCTTGGCCATGCCAGGCATCAATGAGTTGTTGCACCGAGGTTTCGCCCTTCCCATGAGAGGCTATGTCCGCAGGTGGATGTACAAGCAGTGGGGTAAAACATCCCCCATCACTATGGACCTCAGGAGAGTCCCTCCCGACTGAGGCCCAGGTGACCCCGATTCGTTCCGCAAAACCAGGATACAGCCCTACAAGATGTTGCAGAAATTCAGCAGCATCATGTTGCATCGCCGGTCGTTGCCAGCCCCGCATGATGGCTCGCCAAAAAGGATTCTTCCAAACATGGTAAACCCCGCGGTGACCTAAAGCTCCTTTGAGGATTGAGCACAAAGTCGAGGGGAAGAATCCTGCAAGCCCCCCAGTCCTAGTTGACAGCATCAGCAGCCCCCTCAGTACAACATTGCTGTAGCAGTAGTTGCACTCATTCCCGAGCCGAAGGTCTAGGATCTGCCGCTCCAGCTGGATTTCGCCTGCATCGCCGCAAGCTTCTGGGGCAGAGGGCCTCGCTGAAGACGCTCCGGGCGGACATTCACCCCCGCTGCCAACCAGATGGCGGATCCGCATAGATCCCGTAGTAGTCCCCAAGCCTTGTCCGCCGATGGTGTTCTCATCCCAAGATCCAAGAGCATCGGCAGCGTCGCCGCTTCGGTCTCCTTGGTCATAGGCCGCGTGGCGTGGAAGCGGTTCACCACCAGCGGCTCCTTGCACAGGACCACTAGCTCCATGATCATGCTGAGCGCTTTCTTGACCTCCAGCTGGGTGCCGTCCGAGTCGATCACATGCTTCTTGGCCTCGTGGTCCCACTTCATGCGATTGAGTTTGGTGGCATCCGCTGTGAGCCATCCGAGCTGGATAGCCGTGGTCCTGGAGTCCTCGGCATTCACCATCTGCTCGAACCTCGATGCCACTGCCGTGAAAAGGGCCTGGCACAGAACCACCCGCATCGGGGAGTCCAACTTCGTTGGCTCCTTCTCCTTGGTCTCTTTCCAAGTCACCCCTGTGTCGTACAGAGCCTTGGCCAAGCTGCCCTCCATATCCGTCCTGATGAACACCATGAAAGTGCTGTCCAGCCTGAGGATCGACAGTTGATTGTCGTGGCGTAGAAGAAGGGTGGTGAGGAGGTCCACACGCGTTTTCAGATACTGAATGTACTGGCTCTCGCGGTGGTTCGAGGTCCACTGATCTTCCTCGTACCATTCCTCCTGCTCCGTGTCCTGGCGCCATGGTGCCTGTCGGTACTTGCCCTTGCCGCCGCCCTTGTTTGAATGCTGCCTGGATGCTTTGGCCGGCGGCCGGGGGGGCTGACCTTTTCCGAGGTCTGCCGAGCCTGTGGCGCCCGGTTTCAGCCACTTCTGTGGCCTGTCGGACTCCGCTCTGCGCCCGGCCTCGTCCACTGGCCCCCGCCCCATCGCCACATCCGGTGCTTCCTGTAGGGCCCCTTGGCTCAGGGCGGAAGGCAATCCCACGCTTCCCTTGGGTGCAAGGGACTCCATCATTCGTAGCTCCTCCGTGGCTTCTAGCAGTCTCTGCTTGGTCGCCTCTTCGGTGGATGCTTCCTCCGACAGAGGTGGGAGGGTCATCTTGGGAGTCGCACAGCTGTCTACCTCTGGCAAGCCTAGTGAACAAGAAGGCTCCATGAAACAAGGCAACGCATGATCGGAGGTGGGCATCTTTCCGACTGAAACTTTCTCCACAGAATCTGCATGGACTGACAATGCTCAGCTTGCTCTCTTGCACAAACAGCGCACATCGATCGATCTGGGGCTTTAGCTCCGGATGTTTCGCCAGCATGTGGCGTTTAACATACTGGGGGCGGATAGAGCGATGAAAGCACTCGACACAGTGATGTAGGCTTTGTTTGGTCTCCGGGTGAGCAGCGAGATCAAGCCAGCTACCATGGCCAGCAAGTTCAATAATGGTGGGGCTTTCAACTAGGGCATCCGTCAAGACAGCAAGGGTTTCACCAGCCTGGGCTGACTGATAGATTTGGCGGAGCATAGGGCAGCTGTGAGAGTTCACGTGATAATGGAAATTCGGCCAATTGTTAAATCGCTTCAGGCAGTGCTTGCACCAAGGAAGACCATTCTTCGCATGTTGCATATGCGAAGTTCTAGCCTGCTGTTTCACCTCTTGCTGCCTGTCATGTTGTTCCTCTTCGGCTAAGTGTTGTAAGTATACATGGCGTCTCATGGCAGCCTGTGTGCCGAACTGCTGTCCGCACTCCGGGCAGTCGAAGATTTCAGCAATCTGATGGACCGGAACAACATGCGCTGGCATGGGCTCTGCAGACGGGCCCGGCTCAGCAAGCTGCACTTGGCTGAGAAGTACAGCTCTCCATTGGAGCTGTGCCTCGGAGGGTTTAAGGAGGGGGCCTAGAACCGAATCTAACCGTTGGCGGTGCAGGATGGCCTGGTGGAGGCGCTCCAGCGGTTGCACAATCTGGAGTCTGCGCGTGAAGTCCTGGTTGGTTTCATGTGTCCACATGCTATGCGAGTTCACGACCGTGCGGGCCTGCTGAACAATGAGGCTTCGCACTTGCATTGCCTCGGGGCTAGTCAAACCCGTACAATCCAGGCCATGGAGAAGACACGAGGGGATGCATGCATGCCAAAGTCTGAGCCGCAGCTGCTGTGGCACCGCGCGGCATCGAAGAATTGGGCGGAGGCGGCTGAATTGATCTGTTGCAAGAGCCACACGATGCTTCAATGTGTCAGGGCCCATTCTTCGGTATCCGATCACCGCTCCTAAGTACACATGGTGCGGCACTATTTTAAGATCAACCTGCTTGGCTCCAAGCTGGAAACGCATGTAGAGGCCGTCTTTTAGTGTCACTGTGTATTTACGGAGGGCCTGTTGGGCTTTTGATCCACGGAGTTCCACCAGGATGACGGTCTTGGAGGTGCTGATTTCGAGGCCATGGGCACTCAGGTGAATGAGAACTTGGCGAATTTTGGAGTAGGCCTCCTCGAGAGCACGGCCCGACTTGATGATCCACTTGTATAAGAAGTCGTCGGCGTAGGCTGTAGCACAGCGTGCTTTTTCCTCTAGGTCCATACCTGGGAGCTGCTTGAGGAGCCAGCCCGACACCATCGCCCACAACACAGGCGAAAGTCCACAGCCTTGTCTCAGTCCCGTGTGCAACGGGACATCTTGTTGGCATTGATGGTGTGTCACTCGGATGCAAGCTTGATCGTGTATCGCAAGGATGGCCTCAAGTAAAGCCGGCGGAACAGCAGCATCATTGAGAGTGTCTGTTAACATGCTTCGACTAACACAATCATAAGCCTTCGAGATGTCGAGCGACAACATGATGCCACCCTCCACACAGTGCAACTTGGCTGATCGACTGCTAGTGTAGGGATTTCGGCTATGCGCAGCCAACAGGGCCTTCACTTCGGAGCAGTGGGCGGCTACCCGCTCCAATGCCTGGGAGAGGGACCTTTGTGGAAGGTATGCGAATTGGCTAATGTTGCGAAGGTAACGGGAGGCAAAGGGCCTCAACCGGTCCGCCAAGGTGACCGCCAAGACTTTGGCCATTGGAGCCAGGAGGCATATGGGCCTCAACTGGTCGACACTGGTCAATGCCTTCCCCGGCTTCGGGAGGAGGACTAATTCGCTAATACACCATTGTCTCGGTAGCACCAGTGGGCCGGGCTGGAGAACATGAGCGAACTGATATGTGATGAGGGGGACGATTCTGGAATGGAGGGCCTTCCAAACGGCAGCCGGGGCAGAGTAGCTCGGCATCGCTTTACCTGGTGCCAGGTGGCGGATGGCTTGACTGACCTCCACCGGTGAGATGTGCAGAGCCTCGCTGAGGAAGTTCGGGGACGGAGCTGGGCCACCATACAGTTTCCTGAAGTAAGCAGTGATTGTGTGGAACTCTTCCTCATGGGTCTGAACAGTTCCTTGCTCGGTGCGGAGCTGCAATCTGCGTCTGCGAGTCTTCGGAGCGAACTGTTTGGCAGCCTGGAACACATTGTCGGCTTCCACAGCAGCCACGACCTGTGCTATTTTCCTTTGCCGACCTCGTCGGCGAAGCTCCCGTTGTGTCTTTTGCAGGTGGCAGACGTGTCTCCATCCATGCCACATGTTGACAAGGAACACTTCCGCTTGCGCCTGGGCCACATAGCGAGCCTGGCTTTTGAGGCAATCCCGGATCTGCCACAGTTGCCTGACCAGCTGGGTAGTTGCAGCAGTTTCAATAGCGGTTGTGGTGAAGACGGTCGCCTGTTGGGGCTGTGACGATGGCCTGGCGATCAGGGCCCAACTTTGTGCAAGTGCTGCATCCAGATCGAGGTCCGGAGGGGGGGCATGTGTACCTGATTCCAGGTGTGCAGTCGCCTGCCAGAGTGCCTCAACCTGGCGTGGGTCACCAAGGGTCCGTTGGACACGATTGGGTATGACACGAGTGGGTCTGCTTTGCCTGGACCTGGGAGGAGATGGCAAGGGCACCGTGCCACAGAGTAGCAAGTGCCTGCAACCGCTGTGTGGGATGAACGGTGCATCCGTGGGTTTAGTCTTTCTGGCCTCCTGGTCACACATGCCATCCCGGACAATGATGTAGTCGATCTGTGTGCCTAGGGCATCAGCACTGGCCGTCGGTGGCAAGAATGTTCGTGCAGAGCACCCGGAGGTTGACCACGTGTTCAGGGCCCGGCCTCCAGCTTGCCGAAGCAGGGCTTGAAAAGACTCGCGATCTTTATGTGGGGGGTCTTTGGCCGAGGCGAGACCTGGCCCACAAAACGGAAGTTCCTGCTTGAGTGGCGTATTGAAGTCACCGAGCATGAGAAAGCCGTGTCGGAGTGGCACTTGGGCCACCCACTGTGACATTTTCTTCCACAGCTTGTCTCTTTGCTGCACCAGCTGTTCAACCTTATGTGAGGGATCCAGAGTGGAGCGGCTGGGATTCCACGCTATCTGATAGATGCAGAGAATGTCAAGAGGAACCTGCAGCTGTAGCCGTACATGTAACAGGCGGCCGGCCTGGAGTACATTGTAGCGGATCTCATCGGCTGCAACCAGAGTGGCTCGAATGAGACACAAAACCCCTGCCTTCTCTTTGGTGCCAGTGTGCACGGCATGCCATTGGGGATCGCGCGGAACATTCGGGTCTTTGCGGGTGGTGAACTCAGAGTCCTCCCGCCATGCAGTTTCGACGACACACATGATATCGACGGATCTGCCAGCTTGGTCCTCCTGCTTAAGCCACTGGAGGACTTCCTGGTATGTTACAGTGTTCAACCCCCCAGAGTTCCAGCAGACAATGCGAAGACGTCTGCCTGGCCTGGTGTGGAGCGGCATGTGCTCGGGCTGTTGCGGGCGAGGCCCACGGTCAGGGGCGGGCTGAGTCGTCTGTCCTGAAGTGAGGGTGCGGAGATGCACTCGACGCCCCCTATACCACGTTTGGAGATCGGCGTTCCTTGACGCCCTGGTGATGGCTCGTTGCAAGGCTCGCTTCTTCGGAGTAGCCCTGGATGAAACTGGTTGAGAGGGTACACTGTGGCTGAGATCACCACGCTTCGCCTCTTCTGTCCTGGGGTGAGCAGCTAATGGTGCTCCCGGACTCCCTTGGTGTGCGGGGAGTCCAACCCTCGCATCTGCCACCATGGTTGATGAACATAGTTGTGGGAGGTAGGTGAGGGAAAACAGAATGAAGAACAGTCTACCTCTTGATCTGAGATGGTGGCTCTGGGACTTGGGACCCAGACGGCTGTGTTGGCATCCTGGAGATCGTCGCTGTGGTTGTGTGGCGTTCGGCCTCAACATGGGAAGGCACCACAAGCAGAGAGCTCCTGTGAGGTGTAGCAGGTAGCTGGGGTACTTGCCAAGGTCGTAGTGAAGCAGGTTGAGGAGACGGAGCCGATCACGGTGGTTGGCCTGCGTGTCCATGACAGAGCATACAAAGCTGTTGTTGGGAACAAGGCCGGCGCAGCGGAGTGCGGATGGGCATCGCCTGCTCCTATGCGGGGACTGTAGAGGTATCGGCTCAGTCTGCCACAGCTGCTCGCTCTGCAATGAGGCTCGTGCCAAGGTACACAGTAATGAGGGAGTAGAGTACCTGGCCAACGTCAAGCTCTGCATTGAAGTCATCTGGGGGAGAGGTAGAGAGGCAGCATGTGACGGTGCCGTCGGGCAACTTTTTCTTTGCAAGGATCGGAGCACAGGCTTCCAAGCGAATGGAGCGGTGTCTGCACATAGACGAAACTGCAAGCACGGTGGCACAGTTGCCTTCCCCGTTGTCCCGGGCAGCATGAGAGTGTCACCAACACGGTTCAAAATGGTACCGCAGATCGCGGTGCTCAGCCTCAGCCCTCTCGCTACAGCAACACTACTACTCACTGGAGTCTCGGCGACGCCTGGGTAGAGGGCGCTACGAAGGGAGAGGCAGGGAGGGCCTAAACCCAACACCAGCAGTGCAAACAATGGTGCTCCTGGGGGTAGGTAGGCAGTCCTCAACTGAGGTCCTCGCTTGCGGTTGGCCTTTGCTCGGGGTTTGCCTCTGGGCTTCGCCGAGGCAGTATTGTGCGCAGCAAGTGGTGGGCCCGCCGAGGACATCATAGTGGACGGAGATGCAGCCGATGATAGGTCTGCCGGTGGCCCGGTTGTGATCGATGTGGTCGTAGGCATAGGCGTGGTAGAGCTTGTGCCCATAGACCCTGATCCAGCACTGGGTGGGCCGTCGATCTTGTCACCAGATTCTTGGTCCGAAAGGGCATCGAGCGCCTCGAGAACCCCATCTGCCCGTAGAGCATCGGCCACCGCCTGGGCTTCATCTGGCGTGATCTGTCCTCCAGGTGAGCGTGCGGATTCCACGGCCGCGAGCTCAGTGGCATCATCCGCCATCAGCACGGTCCACGGGTGGAAGGCTTCATCAGGCCGCATGCGGTTGACCCTGATTGAGAGTCGACGCGCCTCTTCAGCCCCTGGCTCCACGATGGTCAGGGCCATCATAGGATTGTGGCCTTGTTCCCTCAGGGCCTGGGCTACTGCATTCGAAAGACGACCCGACAAGCCCATGGCCGCATACTGGTGCTGCATCGGGATCGGAGGCGGCGGGCCCTTCGGTGGGGAGTCAGGTCGCCGTACTCGAGGTGGATCCAGGCTGGGACTCTCCAACAAGAATTCCGTCTCCTCAGATTCGGAGCCTTCGGTCTGCCGCTCTCCTGCTTTAGGGGCAGCTTCCATGTTCCGCCGCGCACTCAGGAGGCTGCTGCACCCTACCCAAACCTCAAAAGCCTTCAGGCATGCATTGACAGCTCGGAAGAAGCAGCAACAACCAACTGACAGTAGCACAGCATGTGGACAAGCTTGCATAGGGCACGTGTGCACTCTCGGGCGCCATGGTTGCCATGAAGCCTGTGATTGGAGCATGCTCTTGTTGAAAACAGCACAGCCTACCCAACTGCACAGGATAAAGCCCACTGAACAGCAAATCGGACCGATCAGACAGACGGCCGCCTCCAATTGCATAGGTAGAGGCCGGGGGCCTCCTACATGGAGCTTCCAGGCTCCCCGCCAGGCTCTCTGCAGGAAGATGAGTGTTGGCCCCCAGGGTCGGGAGGTTTCAATCCATAAGGTCCAATCCTGGATCTTGGCGTATGCAGAGGACAGGAACCATAGCTGCACAAAACTCCAGGTCCACAAGGCTGATGTCCCATAGTACGGCCATTCGCTGTGCATCCCTGAGCAGAAACCAGGCTTCATACAAAATGCAGAAAGCCGAAGCATCATCCCAACGTTTATCACAGCGTCGCCTGAGAACCATCTGGATTCGGATTGATTGCCGCTGCCACACATGAATGAACAGCTGTTGTTCGACTGTAGACCGGACCCTGTTTCCCAGAGCATCAATCTCGTACCGCCGTCTTCTTGGTTGTTTGTTAGAGCCGTGGACTGCAACAAGGTCCATGGCAACCATGGCTCAAGACTAGGCTTGCTGGTGCAACCCTTCAAGGAACCCAGATCAAGCGCAATTGGCCTCTGATTACACCACAACCCGAACAGGGCAAACCGGAGGAGAAAGAGCACTCCCAGCACCAGCTTCGGTCTGTTCGCAGACCAGTCTTCGGGCATTTGCCCGTCGCACGCGACATCCAGTCGCCACTCAGCCGAGATGCTTTATATGCGTACATACATACATGAAAACATACAAGATCAACAAACTTATGTATATCTTAACATGCACAGTTTGCAATTTTGTTGTGTAAGATGTGATTCACAAACATGTGCCCAACAAGGTCAAGGCAAAGATTCAAGACAAGGAAGGCATCCCTCCCGACCAGCAGCGCCTGATCTTCGCTGGCAAGCAGTTAGAAGACGGCCGGACGCTTTCCGACTATAACATCCAGAAGGAATCCACCCTTCACTTGGTGTTGCGCTTGCGAGGCGGCATGCAGATCTTCGTGAAGACCTTGACGGGCAAGACGATTACCTTGGATGTTGAGGCCAGCGACACTATCGACAATGTGAAGGCTAAGATTCAGGACAAGGAAGGCATTCCTCCCGACCAGCAGCGCTTGATCTTCGCCGGCAAGCAGTTGGAGGACGGAAGGACGCTTTCCGACTATAACATCCAGAAGGAATCCACCCTTCACTTGGTGTTGCGCCTGCGAGGTGGCATGCAGATCTTCGTGAAGACCCTGACGGGCAAGACGATTACCTTGGATGTTGAGGCCAGCGACACTATCGACAATGTGAAGGCTAAGATTCAGGACAAGGAAGGCATCCCTCCCGACCAGCAGCGCTTGATCTTCGCCGGCAAGCAGTTGGAGGACGGAAGGACACTTTCCGACTATAACATCCAGAAGGAATCCACCCTTCACTTGGTGTTGCGCCTGCGAGGTGGCATGCAGATCTTCGTGAAGACCCTGACGGGCAAGACGATTACCTTGGATGTTGAGGCCAGCGACACTATCGACAATGTGAAGGCAAAGATTCAGGACAAGGAAGGCATCCCTCCCGACCAGCAGCGCTTGATCTTCGCCGGCAAGCAGTTGGAGGACGGAAGGACACTTTCCGACTATAACATCCAGAAGGAATCCACCCTTCACTTGGTGTTGCGCTTGCGAGGCGGCATGCAGATCTTCGTGAAGACCCTGACGGGCAAGACGATTACCTTGGATGTTGAGGCCAGCGACACTATCGACAATGTGAAGGCAAAGATTCAGGACAAGGAAGGGATCCCTCCCGACCAGCAGCGCTTGATCTTCGCCGGCAAGCAGTTGGAGGACGGAAGGACACTTTCCGATTATAACATCCAGAAGGAATCCACCCTTCACTTGGTGTTGCGCCTGCGAGGTGGCATGCAGATCTTCGTGAAGACCCTGACGGGCAAGACGATTACCTTGGATGTTGAGGCCAGCGACACTATCGATAATGTGAAGGCAAAGATTCAGGACAAGGAAGGCATCCCTCCCGACCAGCAGCGCTTGATCTTCGCCGGCAAGCAGTTGGAGGACGGAAGGACGCTTTCCGATTATAACATCCAGAAGGAATCCACCCTTCACTTGGTGTTGCGCCTGCGAGGTGGCATGCAGATCTTCGTGAAGACCCTGACGGGCAAGACGATTACCTTGGATGTTGAAGCCAGCGACACTATCGATAATGTGAAGGCAAAGATTCAGGACAAGGAAGGGATCCCTCCCGACCAGCAGCGCTTGATCTTCGCCGGCAAGCAGTTGGAGGACGGAAGGACACTTTCCGATTATAACATCCAGAAGGAATCCACCCTTCACTTGGTGTTGCGCCTGCGAGGTGGCCTTTAGAGCACCTGCTTGCAAGTATAGCGGCTTCCTGCACAAAGTCCGTACCTATGCCTACCGCATATCTCGCTTGTTGCCTTAAGTATTGATTCCTACATGCTGCCGAAAGGTTTATGAGCATTCTCCGTTCATGTGGGTATGCGGACTGAGCAGGTGAAGCCGTGCTGTGAAATTTTTGTCTCATAGCCAGGCAACGGATCTTTCAGTGAGCGATTGCTTTGGAAGATATCTTTGTGACTTTCTAGACGCAATGCTGACAGCTCGGAGAGCAGACCGCCTGGCAGGTTTGAGGGGTTTGCGTCAGTTAAGGCTGAGTCGCGCAACGCCGCGTTGTACAGGTTTCAGCCTTTACTCCATGTTTTGTGCTCAGTTCTGCTCATGCAGCACGTGGGCAGAGACTCGCTGGCGGATGATGCGACCAAAAGCTCCGGGTGTTTTTGAAGCCTGAAACCAGGTTGACAACAAACCTTACAAGTCTCAATGTAGAGTCCCTACAAGCAGCTTCTCCGAATCTCAGGGACCATAAACTGCCGAAAAACCGGCGTGCTGTTTCGGTGCTTTTTAGCAAAAACCACCCTGCGTCCTCAAGACGTCTAAAAGCCGAAGGACCCCGGCTGGAGCACCCACAAAAAAGGATGTCAGAACAGCAATAATATTCCGTTTATCCCGCTGATGATAAGAAGAACCTTTGGCCAGAACGATGAAAATGAGCAGTCTTAAGACCCTAAACCCTAGGTAGCAAGAGACTTATTCATCTTTCAAGGCCACGCTCCTCATTGGCCGCCGGGGCGTCTCACCTCGTCGGGCCTTCGCCGGTGCCGCGGCGCTCGCGGCGCCGCGTGGCAGAGAAGGGGAGGGGGGTTTGGGGTTTTGGGTTCACGGATTGGGTTCTTGGGCGTTGGCCGTGAGGATTACAGTCTATAGAGCTTCAGCTCGGGTTTGACGGGTTGTAGTGTTCATTTAGAGTTCGAGGCCTTTGGTTTCTTATCCAGGGCCTCTGTTTGGGCCCTTTACATACATTCCTGCATAAGTGACTGTAGTATAGCAATGCTCCATGAAATTTCATGGGGCTGGTCAGCTGGATGACAGTGGTACAGATTCCGCAAAGGCATCTTGCCAGTATGATGAGACGCCATGAGAGAGGGGCGCGACATCTTCTTTTCAGCCGGTGCCGTCGTGGCGCTCGGTTGCTGCGTTTTGGATTCTCAGGGGCTGGAAGAAACGCACCCAAAAGTTTGAGCATTCCGAGGCCCAAAGGCGAATCACCTCGAGTCTCCCACCTCCAGGATTCACTATGCCTTGGCTTCGAGGTTCTTGCAGGACCTGAGTCCCTTTGAGCATGAGAGCCTGCTTTTTGTTCTGGCTGGACGCAAGAGTCTAAGAGTTGCTGCTCGAAAAAATGTATGAGTGCCCTAGTGATTTTTTTGGCTCACGAGCTCAGACGTCTCCAGTGTTCATCGCCTTCCCGAAGCATGGCAGAGGCCGAAGCCGTGTACCGCTACGAGTCCGGGTATATTGCGCATGCCCCGAAGAAAGATTATGGCCCCCTGGATTTCACGGGAAAAATCGCAGGCGGTCTTCGCCTCGACATTCGCAGGAGAGCACCCTTCTTTTGCAGTGATTGGACAGATGCCTTCATGCCCGAGAACTTCCAAAAGTCGGTGTCATCCATCTTGTATTTGTTCCTCAGCTCTCCAATGTTAGCATAACAAATCCGCAAGTGTGTGTGCGTTGTTCTTCGTGTGATGTTGAAGTCAGGTTCATCGCAGCCCTGGCCCCAGCAATCACTTTCGGCAGCCGCTTCCTCGATGGCACCAACGGCCAGTTCGGAGTCTTGGAGATGATCATGTCTACCTCCGTCAGTGGGATGATCTTCTCCAGTACAGCGGGTCAGCCCTTGTCGATTCTCGGAGCAACGGGCCCCTTCCTGGCCTACACGCTTGTCGTCTACGACCTGGCCATCGCCGTCGACGTGGAGCTACGAGGGCCCAAAAGAAGTCTTACACGTTCGGTCCAGTGCCATAGACGCTGAAATAAAGAGAGTTTCGGGTCTCCATTGTCGCGGAACCTAGGTTCATGCCCTTCTACTTCTGGACTTGCATGTGGTGCTCCCTCTTCACTGTCTTGGTCGCCGTCTTCGACTTGTGTGCGCTCATGAAGCACGTCACCATGTTTTCGGAAGACATCTTCGCTGGATTCCAGGGCTTAGGTTGTTCAGTAATATGTCGTTTTTGCCTTTTGTTTCTGGGCTTGGATTACAATACAAGTACTAACTATTAACCGGAAAAGTTTTTGAAGCGCCTAGGATTGATCTCGCTCATCTTCATCATCGATGGAGTGAGGCCTCAAGCAGTAGGTAGAAAGAAGTGCTGTGAGCTGCAAGGGTCTCCGGAAAGCCGGCATGCAGCAACGAAATCAAGAGCGACAGGATTTAACCGTCTTTCCCGAAGACCGTCGCGCAGGCCAATCATCGAAAATTTCACGGAGGAGAGGATGCCGCTTGTTAGCGCCATGTTCGAGGCACTGCTAGGAGGGCTGTGATGTTCAGCAAGGCAGAACGTTAGGCCTGGCATGATTTGACGAGGCACTGCTGTTCCTCTACACTTTCGGACTTGCCACATGGTTGTCCGCATTCCGACGAAAGCCTTGGTCCTTGCGATTTATCCGGAACTTCGCGGCCAACTTCGCGGTCACGATCGCCTTGGTGACCGCTTCTGCCTGGGCCGCCTTGTACTCCAGTGAGACCAACCTGAGGATGCTGCAGGTGGACGCAGAACTCTCCCCAAGTCTGGTTCTGTCCGATGGCAGCAAGCGGCCATGGATTGTGAATCCGTCGGGCATCGACCGCCCCTTCCCAGCGTGGGGCATTGCTTATGCGATTCTGCCCGTGCCTCTTCCTTTCATACCTTTGTCTCTTGTACTCTGCTGCGGGGGAGCATGTTCGTAGCTGATGTCCACAACCCAGGCGATCGGATTCGCGGTCTTGGGCTACCTGGATCAGAATTTGACATCTGTGATTGTGAACAGACCCTCCAACAATCTGAAGAAGCCCCCTGGTTACCACCTGGAACCAAAGCGGCAGTTGGACAGTTTGGGAATCGTCGATCTTCTTAGCTGAAGAAGCACGCTGCTTATTGGTTTTGTTCAGAGACAGCTAGGGAGCCATTAAACTGCAACCCAGGACCTGTTTGTGCGTGGAGCACTCACACTGCCTGTTTGCGCCGTGCTGGGTCTGCCACTTTCAGTGGCCTCGACTGTGCCGAGCATCACCCATGTGATCTCTCTGACCACTTACGATGTCAAGCAGCTTCCCGAAGGTGAACGCAAAGTGCCTGCGAAGGTGGTGGAGCAGCGAGCTACAAACTTCATCATTCACGTCTTGATCGGTTGTGCGCTCTTCTTGGCACCTGCCTTGAAGTTCCTGCCGCGTGCGGTGCTGCAGGGCGTCTTCTTCTACATGGGCATTGCATCTTTGACCGGCAACAACCTCTTCGACCGCCTGAAGCTGTGGCTCATCTGGGACCCGGCGAAGTACCCTCAGTACCACTACGTCCAGAAACTTCCGATCCAGCGCGTGCACTTGTACACCCTTGTCCAAGCCCCCGCCTAAAGGTGGACGGAACGGTGCCCTGCTTTGTGCCCTGCTTCGCCATTCTTGATCGACGTCTTAGGTCATCTGCCTTGGGATTCTCTATGGCTTGAAAGCCATCAAGGACGGGCATCAACTTAGTGTTGTTTGTCACCTAAGAGATTCCTGAAAGTCAAGCAGAGCTGTATAGGGGATCGTAGGTAGGGAGCTGCTGAGAGCTTGCTCTTCAGTGCTCGGTCCTAGTATCCTGGCGGTCCTAGCACAAGACCCAAGCGGTGCCCGTCGAAGGAGACATCTGTCGTGTTCCCGTTCTTCATGGCCTCCTTGGCCATTATTCGAAAGGCAGGATTCTCAGAACCCTGCTTGCTAGCACGTCCTTGCTATGTAGCCTCCGTGTTTTGGCTTTCTCTGCACCCCATGAAACGAGCTAGTTTTCCGCTGGGTCAGAGCACAAGATCAAGCAACGGCGGGTGCATCTTGTCTGCGGCGTGCGCATTGATGCATCTGCGCATGCCGTTGTCCCCAACCAAGGGCATGAGGTTCATGTTCACCGAAGAGGAGCTCAAGCAGCTGGACTCTCTGCCTGGCGAGGATGAGCAGCAGGAGGAGGCCAGGACGCAGGAGCGCAGGAGGGTTCAGGAAAGTGTTTCGGCTTGGAAAGTCAGAACTGCGCAGGCCGAGGCATCGAAGCCGGACCTCCTGAACCTGGAGACGCAGGCTTGTGGGCCCCTGGTGCACGTTAGTGGTTTAGTGGCTACCTTAGTGCTGCCTGCACTTTACCAGGACGAGACCTCCAAGAAGGACTGCCGAGGGTTGTTTCCCAGGTCCTGTGTTCACACCTGGAGCCCAGCCACGGTGCTTAGTCGTACTAAGTGTCAACCTCAACCGAGGAGGAGTTGTCGATCTGAGCACAATGAGCTCATCCCGATCGGGATGGAAAATTTTTGGGAAGCCTTCGGACGCCCGGCATGCAGCCCAGGCTTCCGTGGGCCTTTCTCCGCTCAACACGAGCAGAAGGGATTTTCGCCCTTGGACCGGGACTCATGGGCAAACGGTACAGACAGCCTTTAAACAAAAGGGGAGAAAAGTAGCCGTCTCCTTCGAAGAGTCCAAGGGATCCCTACCGGCAAGTTTCAGGCCTCGGCCTCGGAATACCAAAGTTGCCTGAGACAGAGACGCGTTCCTTCTGGGAGTATCTTAAGCTTTCGCGATCGATGCAAGGTTGTCCGGTTTGATATCGGTGGCTTCCCGATCTTAGAGACTACTCGCGTGTTCTATCTCGGCCTAGGTCTCTCGACAAAACTCTAGGTTGGTCTGTGCTGAGCCCACAACCCACTGGTGGACTCTGCAAGGATCGTTTTGTAGCTCACAGCACTGACTGGCAAAGGGCCTCGGCTTGAAGCAGTTGCCTTTTGCCTTGCAGGGTATCTTTTGAAACCTCGGTGCAGCCCTGAAGGGCACCCGACACTCTGCATGCTCTTGCTTGCCGAAGGCATGCAACACCTGCAGCACCGTGTCAGACCCCCACAGCTCCATACTCGTTCCCCGGCTGAATGCCGACAAAAAGTACGCGTAGCAGCCGGAGCCACTTGCACAGTGCACCTCTGTCATATTTTGCGAATTTGCTCGTTGATCGTTTTGCTTGCGTGGTGGCGATGAATTGATCTATCACGTAAGCTGTGAAAGCTTTATATCTCTGAGTATTTTTCGGTCTTGCAGGACCTGAGTCCCTTTGAGCATGAGAGCCTGCTTTTTGTTCTGGCTGGACGCAAGAGTCTAAGAGTTGCTGCTCGAAAAAATGTATGAGTGCCTAGTGATTTTTTTGGCTCACGAGCTCAGACGTCTCCAGTGTTCATCGCCTTCCCGAAGCATGGCAGAGGCCGAAGCCGTGTACCGCTACGAGTCCGGGTATATTGCGCATGCCCCGAAGAAAGATTATGGCCCCCTGGATTTCACGGGAAAAATCGCAGGCGGTCTTCGCCTCGACATTCGCAGGAGAGCACCCTTCTTTTGCAGTGATTGGACAGATGCCTTCATGCCCGAGAACTTCCAAAAGTCGGTGTCATCCATCTTGTATTTGTTCCTCAGCTCTCCAATGTTAGCATAACAAATCCGCAAGTGTGTGTGCGTTGTTCTTCGTGTGATGTTGAAGTCAGGTTCATCGCAGCCCTGGCCCCAGCAATCACTTTCGGCAGCCGCTTCCTCGATGGCACCAACGGCCAGTTCGGAGTCTTGGAGATGATCATGTCTACCTCCGTCAGTGGGATGATCTTCTCCAGTACAGCGGGTCAGCCCTTGTCGATTCTCGGAGCAACGGGCCCCTTCCTGGCCTACACGCTTGTCGTCTACGACCTGGCCATCGCCGTCGACGTGGAGCTACGAGGGCCCAAAAGAAGTCTTACACGTTCGGTCCAGTGCCATAGACGCTGAAATAAAGAGAGATTCGGGTCTCCATTGTCGCGGAACCTAGGTTCATGCCCTTCTACTTCTGGACTTGCATGTGGTGCTCCCTCTTCACTGTCTTGGTCGCCGTCTTCGACTTGTGCGCGCTCATGAAGCACGTCACCATGTTTTCGGAAGACATCTTCGCTGGATTCCAGGGCTTAGGTTGTTCAGTAATATGTCGTTTTTGCCTTTTGTTTCTGGGTTTGGATTACAATACAACTACGAACTATTAACCGGAAAAGTTTTTGAAGCGCCTAGGATTGATCTCGCTCATCTTCATCATCGATGGAGTGAGGCCTCAAGCAGTAGGTAGAAGTGCTGTGAGCTGCAAGGGTCTCCGGAAAGCCGGCATGCAGCAACGAAATCAAGAGCGACAGGATTTAACCGTCTTTCCCGAAGACCGTCGCGCAGGCCAATCATCGAGAATTTCACGGAGGAGAGGATGCCGCTTGTGAGCGCCATGTTCGAGGCACTGCTAGGAGGGCTGTGATGTTCAGCAAGGCAGAACGTTAGGCCTGGCATGATTTGACGAGGCACTGCTGTTCCTCTACACTTTCGGACTTGCCACATGGTTGTCCGCATTCCGACGAAAGCCTTGGTCCTTGCGATTTATCCGGAACTTCGCGGCCAACTTCGCGGTCACGATCGCCTTGGTGACCGCTTCTGCCTGGGCCGCCTTGTACTCCAGTGAGACCAACCTGAGGATGCTGCAGGTGGACGCAGAACTCTCCCCAAGTCTGGTTCTGTCCGATGGCAGCAAGCGGCCATGGATTGTGAATCCGTCGGGCATCGACCGCCCCTTCCCAGCGTGGGGCATTGCTTATGCGATTCTGCCCGTGCCTCTTCCTTTCATACCTTTGTCTCTTGTACTCTGCTGCGGGGGAGCATGTTCGTAGCTGATGTCCACAACCCAGGCGATCGGATTCGCGGTCTTGGGCTACCTGGATCAGAATTTGACATCTGTGATTGTGAACAGACCCTCCAACAATCTGAAGAAGCCCCCTGGTTACCACCTGGAACCAAAGCGGCAGTTGGACAGATTGGGAATCGTCGATCTTCTTAGCTGAAGAAGCACGCTGCTTATTGGTTTTGTTAGGGAGCCATTAAACTGCAACCCAGGACCTGTTTGTGCGTGGAGCACTCACGCTGCCTGTTTGCGCCGTGCTGGGTCTGCCACTTTCAGTGGCCTCGACTGTGCCGAGCATCACCCATGTGATCTCTCTGACCACTTACGATGTCAAGCAGCTTCCCGAAGGTGAACGCAAAGTGCCTGCGAAGGTGGTGGAGCAGCGAGCTACGAACTTCATCATTCACGTCTTGATCGGTTGTGCGCTCTTCTTGGCACCTGCCTTGAAGTTCCTGCCGCGTGCGGTGCTGCAGGGCGTCTTCTTCTACATGGGCATTGCATCTTTGACCGGCAACAACCTCTTCGACCGCCTGAAGCTGTGGCTCATCTGGGACCCGGCGAAGTACCCTCAGTACCACTACGTCCAGAAACTTCCGATCCAGCGCGTGCACTTGTACACCCTTGTCCAAGCCCCCGCCTAAAGGTGGACGGAACGGTGCCCTGCTTTGTGCCCTGCTTCGCCATTCTTGATCGACGTCTTAGGTCATCTGCCTTGGGATCCTCTATGGCTTGAAAGCCATCAAGGACGGGCATCAACTTAGTGTTGTTTGTCACCTAAGAGATTCCTGAAAGTCAAGCAGAGCTGTATAGGGGATCGTAGGTAGGGAGCTGCTGAGAGCTTGCTTTTCAGTGCTCGGTCCTAGTATCCTGGCGGTCCTAGCACAAGACCCAAGCGGTGCCCGTCGAAGGAGACATCTGTCGTGTTCCCGTTCTTCATGGCCTCCTTGGCCATTATTCGAAAGGCAGGATTCTCAGAACCCTGCTTGCTAGCACGTCCTTGCTATGTAGCCTCCGTGTTTTGGCTTTCTCTGCACCCCATGAAACGAGCTAGTTTTCCGCTGGGTCAGAGCACAAGATCAAGCAACGGCGGGTGCATCTTGTCCGCGGCGTGCGCATTGATGCATCTGCGCATGCCGCTGTCCCCAACCAAGGGCATGAGGTTCATGTTCACCGAAGAGGAGCTCAAGCAGCTGGACTCTCTGCCTGGCGAGGATGAGCAGCAGGAGGAGGCCAGGACGCAGGAGCGCAGGAGGGTTCAGGAAAGTGTTTCGGCTTGGAAAGTCAGAACTGCGCAGGCCGAGGCATCGAAGCCGGACCTCCTGAACCTGGAGACGCAGGCTTGTGGGCCCCTGGTGCACGTTAGTGGTTTAGTGGCTACCTTAGTGCTGCCTGCACTTTACCAGGACGAGACCTCCAAGAAGGACTGCCGAGGGTTGTTTCCCAGGTCCTGTGTTCACACCTGGAGCCCAGCCACGGTGCTTAGTCGTACTAAGTGTCCTAAGTGTCAACCTCAACCGAGGAGGAGTTGTCGATCTGAGCACAATGAGCTCATCCCGATCGGGATGGAAAATTTTTGGGAAGCCTTCGGACGCCCGGCATGCAGCCCAGGCTTCCGTGGGCCTTTCTCCGCTCAACACGAGCAGAAGGGATTTTCGCCCTTGGACCGGGACTCGTGGGCAAACGGTACAGACAGCCTTTAAACAAAAGGGGAGAAAAGTAGCCGTCTCCTTCGAAGAGTCCAAGGGATCCCTTCCGGCAAGTTTCAGGCCTCGGCCTCGGAATACCAAAGTTGCCTGAGACAGAGATGCGTTCCTTCTGGGAGTATCTTAAGCTTTCGCGATCGATGCAAGGTTGTCCGGTTTGATATCGGTGGCTTCCCGATCTTAGAGACTACTCGCGTGTTCTATCTCGGCCTAGGTCTCTCGACAAAACTCTAGGTTGGTCTGTGCTGAGCCCACAACCCACTGGTGGACTCTGCAAGGATCGTTTTGTAGCTCACAGCACTGACTGGCAAAGGGCCTCGGCTTGAAGCAGTTGCCTTTTGCCTCGCAGGGTATCTTTTGAAACCTCGGTGCAGCCCTGAAGGGCACCCGACACTCTGTATGCTCTTGCTTGCCGAAGGCATGCAACACCTGCAGCACCGTGTCAGACCCCCACAGCTCCATACTCGTTCCCCGGCTGAGTGCCGACAAAAAGTACGCGTAGCAGCCGGAGCCACTTGCACAGTGCACCTCTGTCATGTTTTGCGAATTTGCTCGTTGATCGTTTTGCTTGCGTGGTGGCGATGAGTTGAGCTATCACGTAAGCTGGAAGCTTTATGTCTCTGAGCATTTTTTGGTGTTGGTTCCGGTCACCTGCCCCCTGGCCGGGGTGCAAGAAGCGAGCAAAGCCAGGAGACCAACGAGTCGCTAGAAGCTGGTGCAGCCTCCAGCGAGAAGCTCAGCGAAGCCCAGGAACAGTCAAAGACAAGAGGGCAGGGCCTCCTTCCCCTATAGCAAACAGAGCTTCAACGCGATGCTTCCTGAACCCGTCGATGGTCGATCTTTCGCTTGTCAGTCGCTTTTTCGCTCTTCGGTCTCAGAGTTTCCGCAGAGCTTCCCAGGCCCGACGGGACGGCTTTCGCGGGTCAGCCCCGGCGGCCAGGCCAGGGAACTGCAGAGAACCGTGTTGAACCGAAGCGAGCCTCTAAGCGCAGTCCTTCATAGGTACACTCACACTCGAGAAACTGCAAGAGAAGGAGAAGCCAAGCTGCCCCCGCCAGAGTCATCTTTTCTCCTTGCAGGGTGCTGGAGCGCTTCTGGCTCCCGCGCTTGTGCTGAAAGAGGGTTTAGGTCAGATTGCCTCAGGAGTTCAGTGAGGAGTCGATCGAGGTTCTCTCTGCCAGTTCGATCGAAGGGGCGTGGGTAAGACCAGTTTAGCGGGGAAGTGGTGATGTCAACGTACGTTTTGCATGAGGGGGGTGAGGCCAATTTTACGGCGCGTCTGACTTTTCAAAGAAACTGCTGCAACGATTTCAGGATTGGTGTTGTTGCCAGCACTCCTATTGCAAGGACTACTTTTACTGCCGATCGAGTTGAATCGACAAGCATGCGACGGATTGTTCTGACACACTCCCTGGCCAACGCTCGAGCTCGAGTTGGAGATATGTGTGCAATTGTGTACAGACCCAAGTGGGCGATCCGTGCAACAGGCTGGGCTGGGCTCTGGAAAATACTTCATTTCTTCTACTTTGCTCCTGTCTTCAGTGCTAGTCGCCATTTTCACAATCACAATTATCATCATCATCGCCACCATCATCATCATCATCAGCCTCATCGTGATCGAGTGTGCCGCTTGCAAGATGTCATGGCGCAACTATGGTGGCCTCTCAATGCATGTTTCGGGGTTTATTACTGATGTTGAATCTCCTCAGGTGCTCAAGAGCAGCAAACATGAGACGAGAGCAAGCCATTTTTCCAAGCCCCACACGTCCCTTGTCTTCTCCCTCGGCCCGAGGTTCAATTCCTCCGGCTCTTCACCGCCGGTCCAAGACTCCGGCGTCGGGCCGAGCTCTTCGCGCTGCACTGCCTCGTTGAGGGCAAGGCGGACACGTTCCTCGCGTATGCGTCGGTGCACCCGTGCTCACGCATGTGAACGGCTGTGTGTATGTACATAGGTATGTACGTATGCGTGTATGTAGATAGGTATGTATGTATGTATGCATGTGTTTTGTACATGGATTCATGCATAGTACTTTATACATACATAATACATACATACATACATATATACATACATACATGTACATGTACCTACACATTTACAAAATCATAAACATATACATAATCTTGCACATATACATAAACATAAACGCAAGCGATTACATGTACATACGTACGCATGTACATGTGTATATATGTATGTAGACACAGAAGTATAGGTGCACTTGTTCACACTTGGGAGTTTCCGAAAATGGGGGACCCTAATACAGTACCCTAAATAGTAGGATCCTTAAGGATCCTTATTATAAGAACCCCAAAGTAAGGTACCCCTGATTTTCGGAAACTCCCACTTGGTACCGTGTGTCGCCAGGTAGTCCAGGACCAGGTCGCTGCCCTTCAGCTGAAACTCGGCTGGGATGCCTGGGGCCTGGTGCAGGGAGTTGGAACCATGATGTGCCGTTCAGAATGCTTGGCTTAGGGATTTGGGGTTTCGGGTATTCATGGCTTTAGCTTGTCTTGATGGCCTGTCAAAGTCGAAAAACCCGGTTGTTTCAAGTTGACCACTGCCACTGCGAAAAGGGTGCCGTTTTTTTATGTCTGCTTCAAAAAGCGCGACATAGTACCCCAGGCTAAGTCCACTACCAGGAGCCCGTTCAAGAGAATCCGATAGTGTGAAGAAGATCAACTATGCTGCGGCTTCCGACGCTTGCTGCCCTCCACGTGAAATTCTGAAATCACCCAACTTCGTAACGGCCGCAAAGGGCATGTCAAGGGCCAGTTAGCGCAACACGAGAAAGCCTCGAATCCACATCGGAATCCGACCGTGCGCCTAACCACAGATTGACGAGAGCAACGAGCACCCCAAAGACCAGAAACTGTGCGGGTCTCTCTGAACCAGTTACGGCCCTAAAAGTGCCCCACCCAAACCCTACAGCGGGTCGTCACCATCAGTTATGTGTCCGGTTCTTCGGATGAGAGGCCGGCGACCGGGCCTGGTGGACCTCCGGTCTTGGGCTGACGCTGGCCTCGGGTCCGGTGCCCCAATCAAAAATCCACTCGTCCAGGAGGGTGTTTACTCTTTTGCTGGGCTTTGGAACGGTCGGATCGAGGGCGGGTCCATGGGATGAAAAAGGGGCACCGGATGGGACTGTGGGCTTTGGGGCTGCAGCTTCGAAACCAGGGAGGCTGGCTGCAGATCAAACGCCAGACCATGACTGGGGAACCCGAACCATGTAAAGCTGCAACTTGACATGCAAACAGTCAGGTGGCCTTTGCGGACCTCTTCTCAGGCGCAGAGCAAAGACACAGCTCGACCACTTCTGGGAGCAGTTTTTCGGGTCAAGTGCTTGGTCCTTGGTTCTCAGGCGGATTTGCGGCAGTCTCCAACCAAGCCACAGGGAGTCTTATTGGGCGGGGACGATACCGCTTATATCCAGGACCCGAAGTTAAAAGCTCGGGAGAACACATAGGAATGCATAGGAAGGATTTCCGGGCTTCGAGCTTTGCTGCGGAATCTGACGGTTTCCGAACCTTCTGCTTTGGTGGTTGCCAGCCTCACGGCCTGAGACGCGTGGAGGCGGTTGGGCGAATATCGCTTTCTCTCCGCCTGCCATATGGCGTCCTTCGCAGCCTTCTTCTGCTTCCGGAGGCTGAGACTTGTACAGGGAATCACGGGAGAGCTTTGCAGGGGAAAGCGGTCTTTTCCCCTTCCACTCCCTCCCCCCATAGCTTTTGTCCCTTTGGCTCATGTGCAGCCGTTGCTAGACCTTCCTTCTGGTGTAGTCATCCCTGGTGCTGCTCAAAAGGCTCTATCCCCAATTCCCCAAGTTGGCCCCGAAAGCCTGAGCTCAAAGATGTGCCTTTGTCATCGCTGCTTCAGGTCGCGGCTCGTCACAGGCCTCGCACCGCTGAGCCTCGGAGGTCAGCGTCGCTTGGTCTCGGCAGCGTGGCTCGTGGAGGAGGCTGGAGGTTTCTTTTCCCACATTGTTTTCGGGAGTTCCAGCCCTGACAAGCTGGTTTCAGGCTTGCCGTTTCGGGGGGATTGAGGGCTGAGGGTGTAAGGGGACACAGGTAATTTCGCATGTTGAACCCACGCGACGTGCCTGTGCTCAAGCTCAACATTTGGCTTGAAACAGTTGTTAGAGGTGCTTCATGCAGCGCTGCGTGGTGGGCAGCTAGACTTCCGACTAGACATGGGTTGTGATGCAGCAATGTTAAGACATCAAGAATGGAAGCCAACAGCTACGCGTGGCGGACCTGAACGCCTTCCTTGCCTTATCGCCGGTGATTGCGACATGTTGATGCGAGCCAACAGGATGCCCCGCCCGACCATTCTTGCAGGCGCAGAGCTGCGGTGTGGGCCGCGGCGAGGCAATCCGATGCAAGTTTGCTGGGATCTGGGTTTTATCCAAGCTATCCGGCACGATAAAGAGGAGGTGTCATCAGATTCAGACGTGTGTAAGGTTTGTGCGTTGGAAAACGAGACAGCGCGAGCAGCAAAGAGGTGGTGGGCTGGATGGCCAGCCTGCGCGCAGCCTCGGAGGCTTGCTGCCAAACTCAGCTTGATCAGGACGTGATGGATTTTCGGCGCGCCTGGCAGCTTTTGCACTTGCAGCCCACGCCTCTCACCTATATCGCAATTGCAAAGCTGGCTTGACAGGCCTTTGTGTCCCTGCTCTCGCAGTTTGTTTATCAGCGGGCCCACGCTCAAGGCGTCCCTGCCGAGGCCTTGGCTTGGCACCAGCTGTTCGTATGTGCGAAGGAAAGTGAGTTATGCCAGTTATGCCATGTGCAACGGTCAGAGGGCCCTGGGTGGCTGTTTCATGCCCTCCCGACGTGACGCCGTACTTGGATTGCCGAGGCCAACGTCTTCTTGCTGCCGTCCCTTGGAGATGCAAAGAGGGAGTATGGGAACAGAAGAGTCCTGACCTGCTCGTGCCGGCCTCGTGGGTTGTTCAGGAAGCTGCTGATCCTCTTTGCGGAGCTGCAGCGGACACGCATCAAGCTCATCGACGACCATGGCGATGGGAGGCCAGCAAATGGCCAGGAACAGCAGGAGGAGGGCATGGTCCGCAGATAAAATTGGTGCTGGAGCTTTGAGCTGACATGTGCAGGCGGTTCTCTTTGGATTAGAGTGTGTCGCCCCTAACTAGCCCGAGCCATGTCAACGTCACTTCCCCTTTCAAAACTGGATAGATACGCAGAAACCCCTGCTGTAGATTCAGCCCTGAACTTGCCTCTGCCCGCTTCCTCTGACCAGTCGCCGGCTTCTTCCACGCTCGCCAGGACCCCGTGGAATCTAGTTTATTTGGAAGCTCTAAACCAATGCACTCCCAAGTTACTGTGAACCTTGGAATCTGGAGATTCTTGCTCACTTGGCAGAGCTTTGCCGAGCACACGGCAAGCCTGACATGATGATCTTTGTAGGCTCTAAGGCTTACGTGCAAGCTTGTTGCCGAGGCTGCGGGCACGTGGCGCCCGGCAGATTCGGCTGCCACCCCGCAATGCCGAGCCGCTGGCGCCCTACTGCATTTTTGAGTCTACTCATTGTCATGCTGCTGCGACCTGAGCCTCTCTCCATGCTACTTGAATGGAGTTGCAGAGCTTTCCCTGAGCCCAAAGTGCGGCTTTGGCGACAGATCCTGCATGCAAACGGCACTGCACTTGCAGGATCTGCAGGTAACACCACTGTGGTCCGAAGGTTTGGTTTTTCGCGTGACAACTTCTGCCGAAAGACAAACGTGTTTGCCGCCAGAAGTTCCATTGCAAGCCAGCCTTGTGCAATAAGAAAATCGACTGAATGGAGTTGCAAAAGCACCAGTTCCCTTCAGGTTGGGCCTGGGACTGGACCTCTTGGACCCTGCCATACCTCAGATCTGTTTCCTGGCCCAGTCATCCGAAGAAGTGGGTTTGGAATTCCGACAGGCTTGCTTTGCACAGCATTCAGCCTATCGCTACCCGCGTTCTCGTTTTCAGTTTTCTTGGCTTCTCCTGCTCTATCCCGCTTTGCTTCGAGCCCTTTGCCTTCTCTTCGAGAACGAGACATGGGTACACTGGAGCTCCATTAGCTGTTCAGCTGACCAACTGAAGCCGATACAATCCTGGGAGCTCCGTCTCTGTCCACGGAAGCCTGAATTGTACAGTCTTCGGCACTGTAGCACTGCAGCCAGTGCAAACAGCACTTCCTCATGCTCCAATTGCTGCCGCATGGCCAAAGCATTGCCAGCATGTTGCTTTCTCTGTGAGGCTCCCTTGCCCCTGGGTGTTTCGCTAGGGGCTCGGTCAGATGAGGATACTACACAGTTCCGGTGGCATATCTCGCGGAAATCCAGAGTTGCTTTGGTTGAGAAGCCAAGGAGAAAGGCCTCCGCCGCTCGAAGTGCTCTCAGGTTGACAAATACAACGCCACCGTTCAGGACTCCGACCGCCTCAAGGCAGGAACTCCCAATCTGAAAGCATTAAGAAATCTAATGAGATGTACTGCAAGAGCCGACGAGCCGACATCGCTGGGGGTTCGCTTGGGAAGGGCCCGGGTCCTTGAGCCTTGTTTACAGCTGTGCTTTTCTTTGCGGAGGTGGGCGATTTCATCCTTAAGGCCGCAGGCGCCTGCGGCAAGGCCATTTGGGCTAAGAGCAGCTTCCGGCTTTTCCACGATCACATTCAGGGCCAGGCCACTCAAAATGGGAATGCACGGCTTCGAGGGCTGATCTCGGCATCTGTCTCGCAACGTGTGGCTTTGGGGCCGACATGTGCAGAATCTGGCACCTGCATCCTGGACTTCGATTAGTAGCTTCCTTCGTTGTGCTGCAAGATCGCCCTCTCCCATAGCAGCCACCACACCTCGGACCATGAATGCTTCATGCTAGCGGACAGGCCTTGCAGTTCGTGCCCTTGACGAAGGGATAGTCTTAGAGACTCTGACGCTGCTTCGAGGCAGGGGCCATCGCCGACACGCTGGAGCAGCGAGCTGAGCGAGCCGAGTTCCCCGCCTGCCCCGAAGCATGAGGAAAAAGCACCTGCCGTTTAAATTGTACATTATCGTATATTGTAATATATTATATGATTGTATTATATCATAGTATACTATAGTCTGTTGTAGTATATTGTTGCTGTATTATGTTATAGTATGTGCAGCCTCTCAGGTTGGCATCTCCGGCAGAGGGCTTGCAGTTATTGGTGCAGCGGCCACCTCCTCGACGCCTCCGCCTGTCGGCGAAAGCGCTCGCCCCACACAAGCAGGCCTGTATTTGAAGCGAGTGAAGGTTCGCGTGAAAGTTTGGTGCGGCAGGAGCTATCCCTCATCACATCCCTGCCTTCTGGCGCCGCCGGCTTACCTGTTGGGAGCTCCTGAGGAATTTGCTGGGCCGGAAAGCGAGCCCTCGAAAAAGCCGAGGTCTCGCTCTACGCTACTCGGGACCTGGGTGCCAGCGGGGCGGAGCTGAGGCGCCAAAGTTAGAGTTCCAGGTGGCTGAGCGGTTTTGAGGTCCACAATCTCAGCGCCGCACCGGCGGAGCTCGTTTCAGCAGCAGCTTTCAGCAGCCGCGAGAAGCAGAATCCTTCCTTGTAGATCAAAGCGGTGTCCGGCTTCGTCTACTGGGATGTAGAGAGGAAAGTTCTCAGCCCAAAACAACCGATTCCTCGAAGCATAGGAGGCATAAAGTCAACCGCGACTCGTGTCACCAACACCAACAAGGCACCGACATCCTGACCGGGTGCCCTTGACAACCGAATCTCAGCATCGTGCTTTTGTGCAGCATTCGTCATCCAAAGCCTCCCATCTCCGAAGGAACTAACCACAGGCCATGAACCGGAAGCCCTGAATCCAAAAAAGCTCAGTGCGCCAAGCAGTGAAGCGAAGGTGCCACGACCGCATCGTCGCTGTCGCATGCACTCAGGGCAGTGCCCCAGAACTGCGGACCGTGCTGGAGGAGGCTCTGAGAGGCCTGCTCCCATCTTTCTGCATGCATCCGCGTACGTTCACATTTTCGCATATGCGTCTTTGCATGATCTGCATGCCCGCTTGCCTCCCATGTGTCCACATGCTTGCTTAAATGTCACATGTATGTGTACCCGGCATGCACACATACATATGTGGATGGGCATGCACATGTGCTTTTCCCCATACTAAAGCAATCGCACACCCGGCGTGGGGAAGTTCGAAGAGCTGGGCAGGCATTTTGCTCAAGCACTCCGGGGTCGCCAGCTGAAGCCTGAAGCTATGGGCAACTGTACGTGCAGCGGCGATGGCGGACAGCAGAGTGAGATGGTCGTGTCCAGCAAGAACCGCATGCACATGCGGAAAATCCAGACGCCGCGTGTATCCACAGGCGCTCTGCCTGAGCTGCCAGACCTCAAGGGGACCGCCAAGGCCAATGCCGCAGAGGGAGGCCTCTACGAAGATCCGGAGTTTCCACCAACGGATGCGAGCTTGGGTGGCATCACCGGAGACCAGGCGAACCCACAGGTCTCAGAGTACCTGGCTGCTCGGAAAGCGCTTGACATCCCTTTGAGACTCGCTTCTGCGTAGGACGGCAGGCGGTTCAAGCGGGGGTGGCCCTCAGGGTTTTGGAGGTTTCTGTCCCAGGTGGAGATGATGAAGCTCGTGGTGCCGGGCTGGGCGCGACCGCGCCAGATGGTCGGCAAAGAAGCGAGCAAGTACAAGCTCTTCGCCACGGAGGGCGAGCCCTGCCTTTTCAAGCACGTGTCACCCAGGGACATTGAGCAGGGCCACCTGGCACAGTTGGCCAACATTTTCGTGTCCGAAGCTTTTGTTGGCTGTTTCTTTCCTCCCGCACACTTGATGCAGCAACTTTTGTCGGAGTTGCATCCTTCCATAAAATCACGGGCATGAACGGAGATTGGGTGGTCAATCTGGTGAGCAGCAGCAAGTTTTCTTTCGAAAGGCTTAGTGCGGCGCGCACACATCATAAGCAAGAGAGGTCAGGTTCTGTCTCTTTCTCCCGTACCAATGAGTGCCTTCAACATTGGGCATCGTTCCAAGACAAGACCGGGAAAACAAGCAGTCCGAGTTTTGGCCTTTCGCCAGGTTACCTTGGAGATTGCTGGCTGGTGTCCTCCTTTGCTGCCATTGCTGAGTATCCCGACCGCGTCCGGTCGCTCTTCAAGCAGCACGAACTCACAGCGGATGGACGATATGATATCCGCCTTTACGACCCTCTCGCAGAAGAGTGGCAGGTCGTCACAATCGACGACCGCCTGCCATACTGGCAAAGGCCTGGCAAACATGGCACGCTTTGCTTTGCCAAGCCCACGAAGGAGAACGAGTTTTGGACTTGCTTGCTCGAGAAAGCCGTTGCCAAGTTTGTCAAGTCCTACCACAGGATCGATGGTGGCTTTGAGGCTGTGGCATTGGAGATGTTGACAGGCCGGAGGGAACCTAAATCATGTGACATGCATAGAACGTGTGTGTTTGGAGTTGATCAGCCTGGACGGATCCTGTCCCGGATCGCAGGCAAGCCGTCTCTCAACATTCAGGTGAGCAATCTGGAGACCGAATTGCACTCACCATACGTGCCTTGGCTTAGATAAGTCCCGCGAAGCAGGTAGTCAGGAACACAAAACTATGGCGGTTCTTCCAGTTCCCACAATGTCTGCAGTCGCGTTGGGAGCTGGTGCTCTTGCACCTAGGTTCTTCTCTGTGGAAAGGAAGAAGGCTCGGCCAAGCATGCGACAGAGACTCTGAAAGAATGTTTATCCTTTCCTCAAGTTTCTGCGGAAGTGTGACACCGGCATGCGAAGACTGTCTTTGGCATTTCAGGTACATATGCGCTTGCAGAGCTACGACGCGGGCTGGGGCTTCTGGGGCCAAGATGCCTCTGTCATGTGCGAGGGCCAGGTAGAACCTGGGCTTTGCATCAAACATCCTTGCGGTCATGGCTGAAAGTAACGTGCAGCCACGAGCAATGCTTCAACTGCTCTCCTTCGCGGGTGAAGCCTCAATTCCTGGCCTCCCAAACTGCAAGTTGTCAACAGCTGCCAAGGAGCTTTCGGACGATTGGCTTTGGGGCAAGCTTTGTGCCTGGAATGGGGATGGCTACAGCCTCTGCAGGGCACCCAGAGAAAAGAGAAAAGAGGGTGCGAGTTTTGAGCAGAGCGGCACAGCAGCACAGAGCAACCTGTCGCTTGTGAGAGGAAGACGGCGGGGGTTGCTCTCGCTCGGGACTGATGTCTTGGACCCCGCTCAGGCTGTGGGAGCCGCCAGGAATACAAGGCAGGGTTTCACCGGCGTGCCGGCTCGGGATGCAGACGCGGCCCTGAGTGGTTTGGGTGTACTGCTCGACCACCTCGTCATGTGCAGCTGTTTGGCCGTCCTGTCTCGCACCTTCGGCGTGGCGCAGCCGTCCTCGAGTGGTTTTAGCTCTCGTTTTGTCTTGCACTGTTGGATGTCCCTGTCATGAAATCCTGACAATGCTTCCAGATACATTGGAAGGCTCGGCCCAGCCATCAAGTCATCGTCGCTCGAAAGCGGAGCCGTGCTACAGCAACTGAAGCTTTAACTTTCGGCAGATTTCCCCCTCTTGTACTTCCCGTAGTCCTGTCCAACGAGCGATTGCCAGATGCAAGCCGCGTGTGATTGTTGGCATTGCCTCAGCTTTCCACCCCTACTCTTGTGGAACAGCTAGGTGAGGCTGTTTTGTGTTGTCTTGAATATCATTGAACTTTGGTAACTTGTGGAGTCTCAACTCCGTCTTTTGACAGGGTATCCTTGAGGGGCATGCCTACACGCTCCTCCGGCTGGTGGAGGCCACAGGGTCGACAGTGGGCAGTTGCGATATTTTGGGATGACTGACCGTCGGTCGTGACAGTGGAGGGATTGGCTGAACCCCATGCTTCCTTTAGCTCAAGCCTCTGCATGCGTGGAGGAATACGGCACAACAGACAGTGACGCTGAGGCTAAGTGTGCTTTATCGAAAAGGGCATGTTCAATGAGTAATCGTGTCATCACCTCCTTGGGGCTTGCACTTCTAAGAGCTCTAAGCACAGCCCGTTTTGGCAGGTTCCCATTGAAAGAGATGGAAAATCATCGGTGCTGCGACTGCTTCATGTCACCTGGTTGCACACGGTCTCGTCGGGCCTTCTGGCTTCAGCGTTAGTGAGCTGAGTAGAGGTTCACAGATCTCTAGTCGCTCTTCGACAAAGACGCCTTCTTCCCCCGCTCCACAATATTCCCAGCTTACGCCGGCCGTTTAGGCAGCGTGTGGTTACGAATTCCAAGTGTTAACATCGTTAGAGGTGCTTGTGTTGCGGGCGCTTGAATATTTGAAAGCTTTTGTTTTCCGGTTCCATCCTTCATTCTTGGATTGCCTTTTTGTATCTCGAGTTCTGCTAGTAATCTCCCGTACTGGATCGCTTACAAGCACTGTGTAGGGTGCCGCCTCAACAAGCTGACCACAATCGAAATTGCAAGAGTCCTGCATCCTTTTTGTCAGACTTAAACAACCACTTCCAACATCCTACCGATTTTGCCGCACCTCGAAGCAGTGCAGTTCCTTCGGGATCAGTTGCCCTCCGTAGGTTGAAAGCCAAGTACGTGTACTCTTTCGGTAAGCTGGCATGACTGGCATGTGGCCGTAAAGCAGCATCCCACATAGTTGTTCGAGTCATCTCGGCGCTAGACGGCTGACTCAAGCGAAGTCCTTTTCAAACTTCACGAGGTCCGGAATCCTCATCACACCAACGAGTGGTTCGGGAAATTCCACGATGACGACTGGGAGACCTGGAACGCGTATCCAGAGGTGCGCCTGCTTCTCTCTTCTCTCTCTTCTTGGCCCTTAGAAAACTCTGGCTCCCGCGAGGCTCTCAAGGCGACTGGACACAAAGTTGGAATCAAGGACGGCAAGTTGAACTCCTCGAACAGCACCTGCCCTGCCTGCTTCCGGGAGACTGTTCTGTTCATACGCAGATCTTACTCTTCGATCCTGTGTGTAATCTTGGGGGTCTGTCCCTCGAACACCGACCACCGCTGCCGTTTACTGTGTGGCGGCTATGGAATCCGTCCGAGTGCAATCTTTGGCAGGACAATGGGGTTTTCTGGATGCCCTGGGACGAGTTCAAAGGCGGTTTTGCAGACATTGCCGTGAACTTCGACAAGACACTCAACTGTGTTCGTAGATATTTGCCCTCCTTCCGTGCTGTGTTCGAGACCTTTTGCGCTTCATGGAGCTCGCACTAGTCAAACTTGAGGGTAAAAGTATGCGCCCCTAATGTGGACCCTTCGGCCTTTGAAGGGAACTCTCGGCCCGAGATTCTCGGCGACCTTAAGTGTGCATAGAAAGTACAGAGTAGGTATATAAGGATCCAAGGATTAAGGGCCCATACTGGGGGCCCACAGTTTCAACGGTAGAAAACCTTGAAGACTCCCAACTTTTTCGGTCTCCTCCTAGAGACGCCAACGTCCGATCCCAGGAGGGACGAAGGCCGTCGCTACACCGACGAGTCCAAGGAAGCAGCTGCGGAGCATCAGACGCTCGAACACCTTCGCTTGAAGTCAGCTTCAACTCGGCTTTTAGGGACCTGCCCGGAATCCCTCACATCTGCCACCCACGGAGCCTTACTTCTCACCAATTCCTTGTGCACTTGGACTGAGGAAAGTGGCTTGGGGCCAAGTCGGCTACCAGCAACTTGGCAAGGGTTTCGATGAAGCTCAACAGTATACCTGCAACAACTTGGCATGCGCAGCTGCCAATGATACGCGGAAAAAACACGGGAGACCAAGGAAGTGGCTGGGGCTTTGATGCTCATGGCAGACCCTATCATCACGCAAGAAGGTGTGATGGAAGGGATTGGGGAGGTTCTGCAGTCTCTCGACGAGTTGCGTGCCGTTCATTCGAGAGCAGTTTTAGTCGTACAGGGTGTGGGCCGGCCCGTGCTCCTAAAGGGAAGCACAAGGCGTCCCCTGACATGTTGCGTCTTGAAAGAAGCTTCCGCAAGGACAATGACAATTGCATCAGGACAGCTGTACTGTGCCAAGATGATTTCTGGACGCTCTTTGCGAGTGGACTGGGTGGATTCATGGAATGTTGCCCACCTGGGAGGGATGGACCTGAGTTCGCCGCTCCGCAAAAGCACAGTGCGCGCTGCAGTTCTCCTAGATCCGGAGTTGAATCCGGAATCGGAGTTCGTTCACACCTTGGTTGCAAAACTGTTGTAGTTGGCGACAGATAGGCTTGAACCGTGGTGAGTCCGGAATTCCGGATGTGAGTACTGTAACTTCACCAAAAGTTTCGAAAGCACCGGCTTCGCAACTACTAGCGCCTTTGCGTGGAAGCCCCTACAGCTTCCTTGTGTGGCCCATCAGGTGCGGAGCCCTTCTACATCTCCGTGGTTCGCCCAGGCATTGAAGGCTGTGACTTCAGCTAGCCAAACCCGAAAAGTCACAGCTTG